CTCACTTAAAGAGACCTTCAAATCAAAACAGATGGATTATTTACTCTCACTGAAGTGGGTAGAAACCTTTATGAGAGTCCTACTTCTGTTTAACACAAAGAGAGATATTCTGAAGAATGTCTGAAACCAATTGACTAAGAGAAACACATGCTGTGGTAGTCAATGGCAACCGGTTTTAAACATTCTTCAAAGTATCTTCTTGAAGTGTTCAACAGGAGCAGCTCAGTGAGAGAGAATGATTAAAGTAATGATGTTATTCTGTTCATCAGGTGAACTCTCCTTTAAACACCAGCAGAGCAGCCAATCATCAACACAACCGTAATAATCCAGTCATTTCAGAACTATTTCACTCACTCTTCATCAAAATCCCCAATTAAATAAGAAACTCGCAGTTATGATTATCAATATCTTCATAAAATCAGCCTCCAACAGCAGACATGAAGAAGTATTCCCCGTTAATCTGTGCATTACTCATAGCTCTACCTCACTGAGAGACTGATTTACTGTGGTAAAGCTGCGGTGAAGACGGCCTCAGGCGTGATGATCATCTGCTGAAGCTGTTCCAGGATCAGTGTCAGTGGCGTTTGTGGCGTCCGTCAGGTTTATACTTCAGCAGGAGACCCAGAGACGCAAAACCAAAGAGGAAGGTCTGAACGAACCACAGCAGACGAGCGGAGGAGCTGAAGATGCCTTTATCACTGTGCACACACACACAACCACCCACACACACACACACACACACACACACACACACACACACACACACACACACAAACACACAAACACAAAACAAAAACATGAATTATTACACAAACAAATGTGTCAAGAAAAGAGATGGCATCACATTCATCTTGCTGATAATTAAAGATAGAGCGGAGCACAGTGCATTGTGGGATACGGTTCATTTGTTGTAATATGCTCAGTGTGTTTGTGTGTAAATGCAATAACCCAATTGGTCACACTTTCCTTGAAGGGGTGTTTATTAGGTCATTAAACATTAATAATGATGATATGACACATAAATGAGACTTTATGCAGTGGAACAGGCTGCATTTATCAGTAAAATCTCCTATTAAACGTCTCATTACTCTCTAAAATCACTCCTCTAACAGAATCACTGATGTTTAATGATATTCACTGATATTTTTATGCCAAATTCAGCTTGTTGCACTGTGGTCGAGCTCCAAAAATACTCATGCTGCAGTTTATAAAATTCATGACACATTTTTAAAGGCCTCATGATGATCCTGATTATAAGAAGATTGATGACGATGCCGTTATTTCGTCTTGTTAATGTTAAGTTGTCAGCATAAACATCTCAATGTCAACTCCGCATTTACAATGTCATAACTGAGCTAAATGAACACATAAACTAGATTAAAGACATGTACTCTCATTCAGGTGTCATGTCATGATTATAAAGGCTTCATGACAGTCTTATGAACACATCTTCTAGTGTCTCCATTAAAGGTAATAATGAACACACACACACACACACACACACAAGCTAGTGTTGTGGTCTCTACTGCCCCCGTGTGGAGAAAATAGCACAACTACAGTCATGAAGCAGATTCTCACCTGCAGAGCTTCAGTGCAAACATAGCCTCACACAGGTGGATGAGCCAGGTGAAGAACCAGCTGAAACACACACATATACAGATGATGATGATGATGATGATGTAGGACTCTCTCAATCTCTCAGTTCAATTCAAGAGCGTTATATAGGCTGCCAAAGCATTGCAGATTACACAAACACTGAATAAAACAGTGAAGTGATTATATAATACACATACAGAAAACAAAAACAAAGAACAAAACACACAATTACAATTTTGATACACAATTTAGAAAGAAAAAGTCTAATATGAACTAAAAAGATAATAAAAAAGCATTAATATTAAAATATAACAATAGAATACAGCACACAACTGTACACTCATTCAGATGCTTCTTGTTTAGGAATGTTTACATATGTGGACTAGAAACAACACAAAAACTCAAGTAAGAACTCTGTTTTTCCAGAGCACACAATATGTACACAGCATTATTAAACCCTTTCTTTGCTCCCCTCTGTTACTTGTCTAGTAGCTTATTCATGGAAATGCACCTCAGACTGCAACTGATATTCCATTGGAGAATGTTAAACTATCCATACTGATAACAATATTGCAGCCATCTTTCTGTCTTTAAAGATTTTTTGCAATCCTATTAGCTCAAATGATAAAAGAAAAACTCCATGATATTGTTATCAATGAAAGAATGAATGAAACAGTGTGAGACTGATAACAGCAGAGCGGAGAAAACAACACCAGATGTACTGTTAGTGCATTACTAACACATGCATGAGCTGTATTTAGTCTGTAATGCAATGCAAAGATAAGCTTTATACATGTACATGAATTTTCAAAAAGAACAATCTATATAACATCTTGTTAAAAGGTCTATAGTGACAATAAAAATAGTGTTAAAAATAACCTTAATCATTATGCTCCAAGCTTCATCATCTTACTATGTACATGAGACTTTTATTCTGAAATAGGGAGATGCTGTAAAACGCCGGCTGCACCACACTTGTATGAGCTGCAATGACTCCACAAGCCATCTGTTCACATGCATCAGCACACAAAATGCTGGATATACAGATTAAACATGCATTCAGCTCCACTCCATGAACAGGCATACTTTATTTATTTGTATCTTTTGTTTGAGAGCTGCATGTCAAAGCAGAGCTCATTAATATTCATGACCCGTTCAAATATGGTCAATTTGGAGTATCTGACTTTAAGGATATTTTCTGGAGTAGTAAGCAAGCCATAAAGCACAGGTGTCAAACTCAGCTCCTGGAGGGCCGCAGCTCTGCGCAGTTTAGCTTTAGCCCTAATTAAACACACCTGATCAAACTAATTGAGTCCTTCAGGCTTGTTTGAAACCTAAAGGTAGGTGTGTTGGAGCAGGGTTGGAAGTAAACTGTGCAGGGCTTCGACCCTCCAGACACGGAGTTTGACACCCCTGCCATAAACCTAATATGTAGATATCAGAGAATATTTAACTTTAACCAATGCAGTATATGGCATTTTAAAGAGATGACATCAGGAATTAATGATAAAATACAGGAGAATATTGAGAGAAGCAGCAGGCTCGACAGGTATAATAACAATAATACTAATATCACTCTCTCACCCGTAATACATCACTGTGTAATGCTGCTCCACCATGTAATTGGCCAGAGCTCCCAACGGCCCCAGACTGCCATACGGGACGTCCCGCGGCCAGAACACCGTCCACTGCAACAACAACAACAACAACACAATCACAGCCGGAAATGACCTCTGCTCCTGTTTTACACCTTTACTTTGATCAAGTGTGATTAGGACTGCTTTTAATGAATCCGTCAGTGATCTGTGTTTCTCTTATCGTCGCTGTATCTCTGTCTTGATTTATATGTAAAGCGCTTTGAGAAATTCAGATAAAGATGGTGTGAAATTAAACTGAAGTGTTTTAGGCACTAGTATCAGTATGATAGTCTTAAGCAGATCTATAATCTAGTGTCTCCAAAACAGATCAAATGCATATATAAATATAAATATACACCAGATATACACTTCTGAGGTTTGCAGTTTTCAGTCTATTCCACCTTGATAAATAAAGGAGATCCTTTGTTGTGGCCTCAAACTTCAGCTTCTCATCAAACCTTCTGACCAATCAAATGCTCTCTAGTATCTATTATTATTAATATTATTATTATTATGCAGACAAAAACAGATGGCATGTGTTCAGATATTAAATCTACAATCATTTTTCAAAATCGAAATGAAAACACTTACTGTGCAGATTGTGATTTTCTGCAACAGAAAAAGGCTCTATTGGACACTATGTTTGACATTTTGAAAATGGGAAGTGAAGGAGATGTGTTTAGACTGTTATAAAATTAAAATCATTAAACATAAAATCTAAATATAAAATTCAAATCATTAAAACAAACAAAAACGAAAAATGTTAATCAATTAATTGATCAATCAACCATTAAATAAATAAATAAACAGACCCTTAATACAATACAATAAAACTTGAATTAACAATACTTGAATAAACAGAAGTTGTGGTTGAAGCTGATTATGTATGACTTTAAACTCAGAGCCTTCTACAACAAAACCTTTTTCATGATGAAATAAATGTAGTTATGTCTGCTTTTAGCTGTGGTTTGAGCTAAGAATGATCCTACTGTTGCTCTCAGTGTAGCTGTGCTGATCTCAGGTCAGTGTGAAGCAGTAAAAGTGACCCGTCAGCTATTCTGAGTGTGCGGGTTATTCAGACTCAAAGCCTCATTCACAAACAGCAGAGCAACGCTTTCTGTCCACACCATTCACAACAACCGCTTATTTCATAATCAGCAATAACATTTACACACAAACCTGTCCTGCTCACACTTCTCAAACTAATTCATGATCATCTTCTAGAGCAAAACAAACGCAGCTGTTTAATAAAGAATTGGTGATTATTAATGGTTTAGATGTTTGTCGCACTGTTATGTTGGATTTAGTTTTCCCTTAATGATAATAATTTCCTTAAACCCTGCAGGATGTGTTTCCTTGTGTTATCTGAGAGTAATATTTACATCTGTTTGATGATCTGAAACATTAAAGTGAAACAAACATGCAAAAAAATAATAATAAAAATCAGTCAAATCAATTTTTCACACCACTATATATTAAATAAATTATTTATAATTAGAATTAAGCCAACTACTGTTTTAAACACACATAATCAGACTACAGTTACTATTTAAGGCTTTCATAATTACACATTATTTAACAAATGGCAGTAATCTGCACACATTTCATTAATTATAACAATTTTTATTTATAATGTCTATACTTCTTTATAATAAACCTGATGCTTAAATGCATTTCTGATTCATTAGTTTTACGGTCATCTGCACTTCTAGTTTGGTTCTTAGATAAAATATTTGATATTTTCTTTTTGTCAAAATAGACGAGATTATTCTGCTTTAGTATATGTGACGTCAAATAAGTGTTAGCACAAAAGTAATCTAAATGTAATCCAAATGTAGTCTGATTACTTTAAATGAGTAATCTGAAAGATTAGATTACTGATTACTTTTTTGCAATATCAGCAAACTATAGTAACACAAAAGTAATCTAAATGTAATGCAAAAGAAGTCAGATTACTTTAAATATGTAATCTGAGAGATTATATTACTGATTACAGTTTTTACCATGTAATCAAACAATGGTTAACAAAAAAGTTATCCAAAAGTAGTATTTATATAGATTATATTATCATAAATGTGCAATCTGAGAGATTTTATTACCGATTACTTTTTTGCCATGTAACCAAACAATCCCACCACAAATTTAATGTAAATATAATCCAAAAGTAGTCTGATTACTTTACCATAAATGTGTAATCTGAGAGATTATGATTGATTAGTTTTTATCATATAATCAAATAAGTGTTAGCACAAAAGTAATCCAAATGTAATCCAAAAGTAGTCAAGTTACTTTAAATGTGTAATCTGAGAGATTATATTACTGATTACAGTTTTTACCACATAATCAAATAAGGGTTTGTGCAAAAAGTAATCCAAATGTAATCTAAAAGTAGTCAGGTTACTTTAAACGAGTAGTCTTAAAGATTAGATTACCGATTACTTTTTTGTCATGTCATCAAACAATGGTAACACAAAAGTAATCTAAATGTAATCCAAAAATAGTCAAATTAATTTAAATGTGTAATCTGAGAGATTATATTACTGATTACACTTTTTACCATGTAATCAAACAAGGGTTAGTGCAAAAGTAATCCAAACGTAATTCAAAAGTAGTCAGATTATATTACTATAAATGTGCAATCAGAGAGATTATATTACTGATTATAGTTTTCCCATGTAACCAAACAATCCTAACACGAAAGTAATCTAAATGTAATCCAAAAGTAATCCAACTACTTTACCATAAATGTACAATCTGAGAGATTATTATTGATTACAGTTTTTATCATATAATCAAATAAGTGTTAGCACAAAAGTAATCCAAATGTAATCCGAAGGTAGTCAGATTACTTTAAATGTGTAATCTGAGAGATTATATTACTGATTATTTTTTGCCATGTAATCAAACAATGGTTAACACAAAAGTAGTCTAAATGTAATCCAAAAGTAATCCAATTACTTTATCATAAATGTGAAATCTGAGAGATTATATTACTGATACCTTTTTTGCCATGTAAACAAGCAGAAGTAATTCTAACACAAAAGTAATCTAAATGTAATCCAAAAGTATTCAATTACTTTAAATGAGTAATCTAAAAGATTATAGGACTAACTCGTTTTCATCATGTAGCACAAAAGTAAGTGTTAGCACAAAAGTAATTTAAAAGCAATCCAAAGGTAGTCTAGAGAAAAGTAGATTACCTCATGTTTAATCTGAGCGATGATATTACTGATTACACATTTTAAGTTATTTGTAATTAATACCTGATTACAATTCTTAAATAACCCACACAGTTCTGTATGTGTATCATTACACACGAATATATACAGGCATATAAATGTGTTCAGCGGGACTTTGACCCCTCGTGCAGTGTGTGTGTGTGTGTGTGTGTGTGTGTGTGTGTGTGTGTGTGTACTGTAGTAAACTTTGGCACTGTGGTAAAGTTCACTCCTTCTTCTCTTCATGAATTCTCAGATCATCTACACAGCTCAAGCACGCTGACGGTATGCACAGCTCGGGCATGTTGTGGGTCAGTTTATCCTCAGTTTGGCTGCTTCTGCTGAATAATTGATCAAGTTTTCTCTTACCGTGTAAAAGGCCAGCGCGAGGCTCACCGTCAGCATCCAGAACACACTGGTCCTCCTGAAGAACGAGCTGCCGTCAGTCTTCGCCATGATGAACACTGTAAACTTAATTAACTACACCAATTAATCAAACTAAACTAACTTAAATAAACGAACATGAGCGGAGCTGGACGCGTCTCTCTCAGCCGTCAATCAGCCAGTCACCATAGAGATCGCGGAGTACAGGAAGTGACATGGCGCCACACAATAAAAGTCCTGTAATGTTATTACGTTTTACGTTTCTGTGAGGAGTAGACGTTGATGAAATATAATTTAATGGGTAATTTAATAAATATTTCTGGCTATAATGACTGCTTTTACGTTACTCTGAGGGGTAGATGTTCATAAAATATAATATATAATTAATTAATAAATATTTCTCGTTATATTCACGTGAGGGGTTGGGGCAGAGGTAGATGTAAATAAAATACAATTAAATGGGCAATTTAATAATTAACTTGAATAATAATCTGTATTATGACTGTTTTACATCACTGTGAGGGGTTAGGGCAGGGGTAGACATTAATAAATATAATTTAATGTGTATTTTAGTAAATAATATAAATAATTCTTGTTATAAATACTGTATTTACATCACTGTGAGGGATTAGGGTTGGAGTAGATATTAATAAAATAGAATTTAATGTGTAATTGAATAAATAATTAATTCTTGTTGTGGTTACGGGTTTGACATTACTGTGAGGGCGAGAGGTTAATAAAATACAATTGAATGTGTAATTTAATGTCTTTCTGAACTCCATTAGACACAGAGGAATAAATATGACAAGATCCATTTTATTAGAAAAAGGTCTGTACATTTGCTGTGTCGGAAAACAGAAATCACACACAGTACATCAGAACCAGTGTTA